CATTGGCTTGTTTTCATTAAACGTTTCACAGACATGGTATATATCTGACATTAAAGTAATTATATAAGATATCGATTTTAAAATACTATAATTTTTTTTAGAGTCAAATAATAATATGAATACGCTACAAACTTCCTGATTTTACCTTGCACATTTAGCCCGGCATAGAATACATCATCGCGAAGAGCGACACTTAATGAAATTTCGTAAACTCCGATGTCAGACAAGGACTGCAGCAATGTCACTACTATGATCTCAATACCTGCTATGTTTAACACTTTTTGGATTTTTTGTGTGTATTATGATTAATCATTTTTTCCTGGAAATAGTCGCATTTCGGCTTATTTGAAATAGAAAAATCCATGTCGTTACGAATAAGTCACGCAGTCTATTCATACGAAAAAAGAAAAAGCAATGAAAAACGTAATTCAAAAATTAAGTAAAAAAGTAATCTAGTTAACCGTGATTYGAAAAAATTAGTCGTGAGTCGTGAAATCGCCAAATTTCTAGCCGTGAGTCGTGATGCGTACCACCCCATTGAGACCCTCTTGCTTAGATTTCATTACAATTAGATCTTTTGATATGATATAGATGAAGAGGCTGAAAAAGCACAAATACGGCATTTTTTAAAGAATATATAGGTTTATCGGTCATTACGAAAGCAAAAAGCTTTAAATTTTGCTCTCAGAAACCCTATCCTGGGACTCTTCAACAGTAGCTTTAACAGTTTTTTGAAGCGAACCGTGTTAATACGCTGGAGTACAAGAGGCATAAATCGCTCAAAATTGAAGGAAATTGCCTGAAACTTCAAAGAAATGTAAAGAAAAACACAATACACAGGTAGAGATGTTTATTTTTGTTATATTTTAAATATTTCTAAAAAGTACACAAATGCCTAGCTTGGGCTACCTGTGATCGCCTGGCTATTTTGATGCTCAACTCAAACTCTTTGTTAGCGCCATAGCGCCAACAGTGGTTTTTTGTTTGTTTTTCGTCTTTGTTTYGYTAAGTAGTGTTYGCCATTGTATTTGTCAGCTTAAGTCAACGTTCGTTTATTTCCTTTGTTCCTTATATGTTCCATGCAAATTTTGTTCAGTTTAAGCGCTCGTTTTGAATATTTTAATCAGTGTCGTCATATCGTAGTATCGAGTACATCGCACAGTTTGTTTGTAAGTATTTTCATCTTTTCCTTGTCTTTAATATCGTTTTTCATGTTATATAGTATAGTTAATTGTATTTGTAAATTTATTACTTAGGAACCTTGCTTGCTTGCTTGTTTGTAAGCGTTTCGACAATGTGCTCGTAAATAAATACTTGATCCGTTAAGTGTATCGTTATGGCGACCTCATCGTTCAAACAAACTACCCGAGAAGATGATAGGCGTTCATGGCCTCAACGCCGTGAAATACCAAGGTTTTCTATGCGCTCCGTTGCAAGCGAAATGCCGCCGAACTACGTTGGAGACCTGGAGATCATCAAACACCTGAAGAAGAAGAGGAGTAGAGCTCTTGCTTCGCTAACACGTAAAAAGAACCAAATTGAACCAATTCTGCTTAACCATGATGACGTGGAAAACCTGGATCTAGTAGATTCTAAGATGGGCGAATACTGTACGATATTTGATAAATTCTGCGAGGCGAATGATGCGTACGACAACGTATTACAGGATGGACAAGCAAGGACAGAATCGTTCATGTACTTCGTCGATGTGAAAAAGAACTTCTTAGAATTCTGCCAAAAGGTGTCTGAGTGGGCCTCGTCCATGGAAAAGCAACTACAAAATACGCCTGAACCGGGCGACAAACAACCTACTCAATCTATTTCAAGCNTATCGCTAACAAGCTGCAAGAACGCACTCGAAGGAATTGGATACCTCAACAAAATTGAAAACCCGGATGTCATGCGCAAGATCGTAGAGAAACTTCCGTACAAGTGTCAAGAGAAATGGCGTGACATTGCAGATACGATAATCAACGTCAAACATCGCGAAGTTACCATGATTGAAGACATCGCTACCTTTGTAGAACAAAGAGCCAGATCTCTGAACAACCCAATCTTCGGCAAGTTGACCTTCAGTACAAAGCGCAAACCACCTACATCACATGCAAAGACCTTCACGAGCTTGGCAAAGGAATCAATCGTCACCGAAAGTAAAAAGACCTGTTACGTTTGTAATGCCAACCACTCCGTTGCTGACTGTCCTGTCTTCAAAGAAAAGACGTACAAAGAACGAATGGACATAGCCAGCAAGAATAGACTTTGCTTCTCCTGCCTAAGAAAGGGTCATCAAGCCGTTTCCTGCTTCAAGAAAAAGCCTTGCAGTGAGTGCAACAGACGACATAACACACTGCTTCACTCAGACGTTTCCGACCGCGCTGTTTCGACTGCAAGTTCATCTGTCACTAGTCCGACTGTAAGTTCCTCGAGCACTAGTCCGACTGCAAGTTCCTCAAGCACTAACCCAACTGCAAGTTCTCCATTCACTAAATCATCTGAAAGCACCAGCAGCCAATCTCTAGCTATGAATGCTACCAAGCAACATTCGTTTGCATGTTCCGTCWCGAAATCGCCTGATGTTACAAGAAAAGCDACAGCTATTCTACCTATACTTCCAGTCAACATAAGGAAGAGASACAATGATGCCTGCATACAGACATATGCCTTACTGGACACTGGTTCCAATGCAAGTTTYTGTTCTGAATCATTAATAAAACGTCTCGGAGKGCAAAGTAAGAAGACCAAGGTCAAGCTAACCACCATTGGAGAGAGTTCTGACGTCAACAGTCAAGTGATCAATGGACTGATAGTTAGCGACTTGGATGACAACACTTCAATCAGCCTCCCCATGGTCCTGTCCACACCGGCTATCTCAATTTCAGAGAACGAGATACCCTGCCAAGACGATGTCGATGCATGGCCTCAGTTYTCAGAAAAACTGCGTCTATCTTTCATTCAATCTAAGGTCGATCTTTTGATTGGACTCGACGTGCCAGAAGCCCTAAGACCAATAGAGGTTATTCCAACAACCACAGAAGKSCCTTACGCTACAAGGGTAAAGCTCGGATGGGTTATCAATGGTCCAACCGGAAGAAGTGCGAAGGGTACATCATGTCCGAATAGCTTTCAAGCTTCCATGCAGTGTTTGGAATGTGCAGACTTCCTAGAGAGTGACACTTACAGTATCTCCAAGGACTATACAAAGGAAGAAGTCAAGTTTATGGAACATATGGAGAAGTCMAYCAAACATCTTGAAGACCAGCACTACGAAGTTAGCCTACCTCTCAAGGACCAATCTGTCACTTTACCTAACAATCGTGYGCAAGCCGAAAGAAGATGTGGATATCTGAAGAACAAACTTTTGAACAATCCAAGCTTTAGACAGGACTATACGACCTTCATGAAAGATACGATCGRCAAAGGATATGCAAGAAAAGTGCCGGAAGAACAACTCGCTGGCGTCAAAGGYAAAATATGGTATATTCCGCATCATGGCGTTTACCACAAGAAAAAACGTGAAAAAATACGGGTCGTCTTTGACTGTTCATGCAAATACCAAGGCGTAGCTCTCAACGATGTCCTATTACAAGGTCCAGATTTAACCAGCAGCCTTCTTGGTGTGCTCTTACGCTTCCGCCAGGAAAGTATTGCCGTCATGGCCGATATCGAAGGGATGTTTCTTCAAGTWCGYGTGCCCGMARCKGAACGTAATCTCTTACGTTTCTTATGGTGGACCGACGCTCAATTCGACAAAGAACCTGATGAATACCAAATGAATGTTCACCTYTTYGGCGCAGTCTCCTCGCCTTCTTGCGCTAATTTCACGTTGAGACACAACGCCAACTCCAACAGAGCCCTTTTTCAAGATGAAGTCATATCAACTGTTTTCAAGAACTTCTACGTAGACGATTGYCTAAAGTCTTTACCCTCTGCTGAGAARGCCATTCAGKTCGTTGAAGATATATGCAGACTTATGAAAGATGGTGGATTCAGGTTAACCAAATGGATCTCAAGTAGTCGTCAAGTACTGCAATCGATTCCTGAATGCGAACAAGYGAAAGAAGTYAAAGAATTAGACATTGCCCRCGAAGAATTGCCAGCTGAAAGAGCCCTTGGTGTCACATGGCTAGTTGAAACAGATACCTTTGGTTTCAAAACAACACTTCACGAACGCCCTTTGACAAGACGTGGTCTTTTATCCGTGGTTAGTTCTGTATTTGATCCCTTGGGTATGGCAGCTCCCTTTACACTGACCGCCAAGATAATCTTGCAAGACCTCACTCGACTGAAGTTACAGTGGGATGAAAGAATTCCTGATCAGTACTTGTCACCATGGCAGAAATGGCTGCAGGATCTACCTAAATTAGGTAAATTCTCCTTGGCTCGTTGCTTTGGACCCTTCAAACAACAGCGAGGTCATACAACGCGGGAACTTCACCACTTTGCAGACGCTTCACAGAAAGCGTACGGAGCAGTGTCTTACCTGCGTACTGTCAACACCAATGGAAACATTG